TAGATATGCTTTTAAATCAAGAAGAAAGCATTTATAGCTGTATTTATAAACTGCTTATTAATATCTATTAATGCTTTATGAATGATGAATTAACAGTTTACTCATACTTAACTAATGATTATGAGCATGTAGACTAGTTATTATAAAGTGTTACCATTACTTTTATGATGGATGGATGTGCTTTTTGGCTTCAAATTCTATTGTACCATTCACTCCCATTGTAAGAGCCAGGGTGTTTTTTAATGATTATGTTTAGCTAAAAGCAGGAAGTCAGATACACCTAGGATGGCTTGAGGGTGAGTAAATTATGGGTTTTGTATCTTGTTCTTGTCTGTCATGTGTTCCCCTCTCTTTTCATGTTCAGCTGTTCCCCATTTTGTTGATTAGTCTCAGGTGTTTCTGATTAGCCACGCCCCCTTGTTACCTTCTTATTCTTCTTTTTTTTATTTGCATCGATTTCGTGCATTACCGCCACCTACTGTGAAGTGAACTTGATCCAGAGACTTCAAGAACCCATTTCCCATCCTTACCCACTATATTAAACATTTATACTATAGTTCAGCTCCTCTGGCTAAAAAAAACAAACAATTAAAATAAAAAAACCCTTTCAAATCCTGTCAATTAATCCAGTATTTTCCAAATATCTAATAAAGCTTCACTATTATATATCTCTTCAAATAATGTATCTCTCCCTTGTTACCTTGTTTAGCTTGTTTGTGTTTATACCTCTGTTCTCCAGTTGTTGTTTGTCGGTCGTTGTTTGCTGTAGATGTTCTTTGTTCCTGTCCTAAGTTCCTTGTGATGTAGCCTAATTTTTCCCTGGATTACTTATTCATTTAATTAAAGTACTTGCGTTTGGATTCACTCTCGACTTTATTGCTGGCCCTGACGTTACATCAACAGTGAGCGCAAAGGCAACCAGATAACCCACCTCCGCCGATCTGTTTTCTTGAAGATTTCGCAACTGTACAAAGTTGTAATTATTTTGCAGTCCTGAAACAGGAAATGTTATATTGTCCCGCAACTGCAGGCGTTTTTCTGTGTTTTATTATACATCCCTCTGGCTTTTAGTCCAAAAGTGTGATCATTCAGAAAAAAAAACGTATCGAATACTTACTTCAACTATCATTAAAGAGCAATGTGTATCATATCGTACAAGGTTTAAAATTATTTAAATAGACATTTCATTAGTAGAAAATGTGTAGTATTTTATTTGACTTCATATTACTGCATTTTAGATTTGATTTCAAAGGTGGATGTATACTTTAAATAAATGAAAAATTGGTAGCATCCTTAAATAAGATTGTCACGGGGTGGGTGCAGGCAGAAGAACAGGCGGATTCCAAAGAGCTCCAATACAAAAGTTTAATACAAATAATCCGAAGACAGGCAGGCAGAACACAGAGTAACATTCACATTGACCGACAAAGACAGAATGAAACAGAGGGAACTAAATACACAGAGGAATCAGGCCTAATGAGGTGCAAACAGGTGAAACAGAACGCTGAACGGGAGGCTGATGAGGGAGTGAGTTCAGGTGTGCAGACGAGAGGATCATGGGAAGTGTAGTGCAGGAGACGCAGACAGGATGGTGAAGACGCAGGACTGTGACAAAGATATTGTAGATGATGTTTTTTTTTTTATTTGTTTTCTTTTCTTTTCTTTCATTTGAAAGTCACATGTCTAGTATCTGTAAAACCGCATTTTTCCATCTTAAAAATTTCAAATTTACGCTATATGCTCTCATTGACAAATGCGGAAAAATTTGTTCATGTGTTCGTGACATCAAGGCTAGATTATTGTAATGCTCTACTGGGTGGTTGCCCTGCACGCTTAATAAACAAACAACAGCTATTTCAAAACACAACAGCTCGAGTTCTTACCAGAACCAGGAAGTATGATAATATAGACCTTATTCAGAGCAGCGCCATGACAGGTATGAAAGTGAGGCTGTGAGGGATAGTCTTACCGTGTTTCCAATGGCATCCGCTGTAAAAAGCTGAATAAAGCTCCTAGATTACTTACAATTTTCCACAACTTACATTGTCGGGAGTTTTTTGTCAACTGTAATTTCTTGGAAAGATATTTTTCCAGTGTTTCATGAGCAGAACAATCCGAAAACACATTAAATAACAGTACAGCCCATTGAAGAGATGCAAGTCTATCCCTCACAGCCTCGCTTTCATTCTCATTAAAAATCAAAGATGGCGCTGCCCTGAATAAGGCGTATTAGCCCAGTTCTGTCAGCCCTGCATTGGCTGCCTATAAACATTGAATAAATTTTGCTAATTACTTACAAAGCACTAAATGGTTTAGCTCCCCAGTACTTGAGCAAGCTCTTAAAGTAGAACTCCGGCGCAAAATGAATTTGGTCCAATAAAACATCAGTATCTAGTCAACTGTTCTCTGAGATTTGTTTTCATGATAATCGAATGTAAAGAGTTTTATCTCTAAAAACTGTTTAGCGTATAATGCTAGTAATGGGGGCATTGACTAAGTAAAAAGAAATCGCTAGTTTATACCACTAACAAGGCTCAAAATAGCCCCACACTAACACAGTAACATAATGAGGCTCCATACATGCAAAACGAAGCATTGAGAACTTTGTACGTGTACAGACCGTTTAATAAGAAGATGCTTTATAAAGACAGTTCACTTCGTGTATACAGACAGGAGCCATCTTGGAAAACAGTCTCGATGAGTCAAACCACGAACGTCGTGCTGAGTGAGCTGAACTGTATGAAGTTCAGCGAACTTCTTAACTGTATGAACGGCGTTCGGGGATCGACTTATCGAGATTTGCAAGCAGTTAACCAGAACCAGATAAAGTTCATACATTTTATTAACTAAATCATAAACAGGAATAAACTAAACAAACATACATAAATACTGTACATGTGTAAGGAAAAGGAGTGAGAGGTGGAATGATGTAACGATGGAGAAAATCAACCGAGAAGAACCAACAGCATTTAATATTCACATTTGAATTGAATACTTGAATTTGTAGTGGGAACAATTCTTGAAGTTGTGAAAATTGAAATCATTAAGGGTTCCAGCAGTGGCAAGTGGAATTTGTTTGAAAGTTATCTTTCTCCCTGACCACATTTGGTCAAGGCCTGGAGCCCTGGGGCCTGTTGAGACCACTCCGAGCACCCAGGAGAAGTGAGGAAGTCAGAAAAGTGGGTGATTGAAGTCATTGTTGGTTGGAGTCCTGGTTACAAACTCCTGAGAATGACCTTGGTTCTTTGTGACATAGTCTTTTCTCTCCTCCCTGAAGCCATATCAAGGCCTGCTGGCCTGCTGGAGCCCTCGGGTTCAGTTCTCTGTTCAGTTCTCATGTAATGTTGTCAATGCAGGCAGTTCAATAATATATTGTTGAATATTAAGTGTCCCCAACTAAGCAAGCCAAAATCAAAAGGGGACAGAGAAGGTGGTGGAAAGGAACCAAACCTTCATCAGGTGACAGAATGAAAATGAAAATTATGTCAGTATTTACTCACCCTCATGTTGTTCCAAACCTCTATGTGTTTACTTGTTCTGCTGAACACAAAGGAAGATATTTGGAAGAATGTTTTAATCAAACAGATCTCAATCCCCATTGACTACCATAGTATGTATTTTTTTCCTATGGTCAATGGGGATTGAGATCTGTTTGATTAAAACATTCTCCCAAATATCTTCCTTTGTGTTCAGCAGAACAAGTAAACACATAGAGGTTTGGAACAACATGAGGGTGAGTAAATACTGACAGAATTTTCATTTTTGGGTGAACTAACCCATTAACACAACCCTTTTACAAGGCTTCTGTTTTGGGTTTCATCAGCTCCATAAGTGCTCCAAAGGTGTCTGGAAGGAATAGAAGGAGTTGTTAATGTAATGGATAACATTCTTGTGTGTCGAGAGGAGTGTACGAAGTCTCACATGACAGCAGACCGAGAAAGCTGTAAGAGAAATTGAGAAGCAGAACAAAACAAAGACAAATATAAGATTGGCCAAAAGAAATCAGATATGTCAAAGATGGACTGAAACCTGACAAAATATTAGCACTGAATTTATTAGCACTGAATTTAATTTTTATTTACTTTTTTCAAGTCAAGCCAAGTCACCTTTATTTATAGTTCTTGATTGTTTCAAGCTTTGCAGCTTTTCAGTGATAACAGGAAAATAATGTAATAAAGTTTGTTTTGTCTGTACACAGCTCTAGAAGAATAGTGTCATTGTCCAGCTCAAGTAGTTCGGTGTTGATTCTTTTTTGGTTGTAAAAATCATTATTAATTTAGTTCATAATCAGCCGCTCTGGAGAAAACATTGATGTCTTCATCCAGCTCAGTTCAGTTCTTATACAATGTTCAATATCAGTCAGATCAATAATATCAGTCAGATCAATAATATTGTTGAAAATTTATATACACAACAATTGAACTGCTGTTTATGAACTTAATTTAATTTTCAACAAATGATCTGCCTGCATTTACACAATTATAAGAGAACTGAACTGAGCTGGAGAATGACATCAAGGTTTTCTCCTGAGCAACTATAAATTTTTGCAAAGTTCCTCTTGCTCTCTCTACAGTCTGATGTATTGTCACTTTGTCATTTACTAAGCTGATTATACAAATGTATTTAACTATGTTTTATTGTTTTTATTTATTAATTTTATCCTTTACTTACAAATAAATCATTTTTATCGATCACTTCTTCATCTAAATGGATCTCACTGCATTGGGGTGATTTAAGTCTTTTTTCTCTTTTTTTCTCTCACAATTACGAGATATTCTGTAATCCTGACTAACTCACAAGTGTAATTTTATTTGGCAACGTTATAACTAGCAATTGTGACTTTATATCTGGCACTTCTAAGAAGAAAAAAAAGTTTAAAAAAAAATAAATAAAAAAAGTATATTTTTCCGTGATGGAAAAAAAGGCTTCCATACTTTCTTGATTGTGAATTCAAAAAATGCACTTTGGTTGGTCATGTGACCGCTCCCACGTGACTGCGCTGCTCTCTTTCTCTTTCGCTGTGATGAATAAAGGAAGAGACTGAACTGCAAGATAACTTTTATCTGAAGCAGCACGTGTGTTTTTTCAAGATCAGAAAGTGGTAAGTGTGTGTAGATTTGGGAACGGAGCTTCACTTTAAGGCGAGATCGAACCGCTGATTAATTAACACGCATGTTTGAAAATCAAAATTCGATTTCTCAGTGTTTAGATTTGGGCCTGATGTGAAGGCATGATAGCCAACACTTTTTTGTTTAAACACAGAGAGATGATTTGTGTGTGTGTGTGTGTGTGTGTGTGTGTGTGTGTGTGTGTGTGTGTGTGTGTGTGTGTGTGTGTGTGTGTGTGTGTGTGTGTGTGTGTGTGTGTGTGTGTGTGTGTGTGTGTGTGTGTGTGTAACGTCAACACACTTCACGCCTCTTAGTTTATCAGTATTTTCAATGAGATGCCTTTGATAACACAATGAAGTTAAGTGTGCCAACATTCTTTGTTTTGGTGACGGGTTACTGTGAGTTTTGGGGTTTGGTATTAGGTCTTTTTTTTACCAACAGTCACAGGACCTGTAATGAGATCATCACATTGTTTTGACTTTTGTGTATTCTTTCCTAATACCGGTATGTGATTTGTCTGTCTCAGTTCCTGCTTGTTTGTTTCTGCAGTCTATAGTGCCCTCTTTATTGGCTAAAGTGGAGCACTGGAGCCATGAGTGATGATGGGGAGATGATGGAGCTGCCCCTGAGCCAGGGCAAGTTTGAGCAGATTTGGGGGGACCTGTAAGTCCATTTCACTATAAAAAATATATTTTTGTTTTAGTCTAACCATTAAATGAGTATTAAACTATATACACCATATTGCACAAGTGATCAAAATGGATCATGCTTGTGCATTCAGTCATCCATGTTAAGTTTTACATTTTAATGTTGTACATTTGTAGTTTATTTTAAATGCTCTTAAATGCATCCCCATCCATTAAACAACTGTTTTGTGGTATTTCTTTTTATTAATAGAGGGTTTGGTGAGCTGATCAAGGAGCTACCTCGTACAAACAGTGATGCTTGGCTTACTGCTGTAAGCTGGTATTTTCATTTTTGATTTGCACTTCAGAATGTTTTTTTTTTATGACTTTTTTTTGTTCACTTAAATATGAAAATTCTGTCATTTACTCAGCCTCAATTTGTTTTAAACCTGTATGAATATCTTTCTTCTGCTGAACACAAAAGATATTTTGAAGAATGTCCGTAACCAGACAGTTGATGGACCCCATTGACTTCCATAGTATTTTTTCCTACTATGGAAGTCAATTAGGTCCATCAACTGTCTGGCTATGCAGATTCTTCAAAATATCATCTTTTGTGTTCAGCAGTAGAAAGAATTGCATACATGTTTGAAACCACATGAGGCAGTAAATGACAGAATTTTCGTTTTTTGGGTGAACTATTGCTTTAAATGATTACCAGATATCTGCTACCAAAGGTCCAACCACAGACTTCATATAGGTAGACGCCCTATCGACCTCTACAGCCTATTGGCACGAATGAGCTGTGGGGCCGCCATCTTAAATCATTCTAGAATCATGAATCACTGAATCATATCTCACTCAAACTGATTTTCTCGCTGGATTTTTTGCTGCAAAGGTCATACATGTAGCTTTGATACAGGAGACATGGGATAATTTATTTACAAAATACAAACTTTAGTCAGGTAATGTTAAATCTTACTTGTGAAAACTAATTCCCGAGCGATAGTCCGCCGATTTGAGCAGGAATATGATGCACAGTGCTCTGGCATCTACTGCTGCTATGCCACACAATAGGAATACGACCGGTTTAAGATGGCGGCCGCATTTCTCAGTACCCAGCAGCAGCCAATAGGGCATCTCTATTTGATATCTATGGGTCCAACAGCTTTTTTGACTGAAACTTAAAGCTGCAGTCTGGCATTTTTCCTCTTTGTCGCCATCTCTGTTCGAAATCTGCAATTGCAGGCATTTGTGGAATTATCAACTTTGCACGAGTTGTACTTCAACACCCTCAACACGGCACAGCGCGAATTATCACAATGTTTGAGGAGAGTGTTCAGCTGTCAGTCACTGTACTGTGTACTGTGTGGATACTGGCACTCAGAATCACAGAATATTCTTTTTTGAAAGTATGAACAACATAAGAATTTTCACCGGAAAATGTCATCTGAACTAGCAGTAAGAAACATCCACTTTTGTTGTGGTTCTGACATTGCAGTAACTCGTGCTGATTAAACGTAATGACGCAAAGACATGCTCGAATCTCCCGTGGAAATCCACCACTACCACTGGAATTAAAAACATTATTACAAGCTAGGCAAGCAGATAGTTTTGAACACTGGCTGGTTATGTATTTTCTCAAATATGTATTTGGATAATTTTTAACCCAAAAAAAACTACGGACTGCAGCTTTAACTACTGTTTTTATTTTTTGCTTCTTATTCTAAATTCAAGAACAGAATGAAGTGTAACAAAGCATCCATACCTAAATTTAAACTCTCTTCACTATGTCAGGCATTGCCTGATGGCCCTGCTTTTACAGATGGCTTTGACCTGGATCTCCCAGAGAACACTGACACTGCTCTTCCTGCACCTGATGTGGCCCCAGTTGTGGACAACCTCCCACCTCCTGCAACTGTAGTGCCCTCCATCTCTGATTATCCTGGGGAATATGATTTCCAGTTACGCTTTAATCAGTCCAGCACTGCAAAGTCAGCCACATCCACAGTGAGTGATAAGCGAAATATTTTAAATATAAACCATTTTAATTCCTCCCCAAATCTGCATTATATGTATATTTTTTTGTTGTCTGCAAAGGGTAATTGGAAATTATTGGAAGAACCATATATGCAAGTATTTGTGTAAGATTTTTTTTTTTTTTTTTTTGCTCTCGTTCTCTCAAGAGCAGCAGTCAGTCATCTTCATCACTCACCGGTCAAATAAGGCTTTGGCGGGACAAAAATACGCCTAAGGCTGACAGAAATCCTTGTGCATATTCCAGTCTTCTTGCACTTGATGTTTAAACTGACAGGACTTGGGTTCGTAATGTAGGCCTATGCGCTCTTGCAAAAACACACATCCCCGCCCCCACACTCACATCTACACGCACGTCAAATACACAGGAATGATTATCGGCCTGTTCACATCGCCCCTATTTTGATATTGGAAGGACACCGATGTGTAAAAAATTGACCATATCGACCGATATTAAAGGGGGGGCTTGACTGCTTTTTTTCTTTGCATGGTTGTTTATGGGGTGCAATATAACATGTATTCGTGGTTTTTCTTTTTTTAAAGTCTTATTTTTCATAAACTTCACCTTTATTGTCAGCCGCGCTCTCCTCTGTCCTCGAACGAGAGGTTGACTTCCTGATTCTATGAAACCACTCCCTCAGAAATAGGTTATGTGTGTTGTGATTGACTAAACCAGTGGTTCTCAAAGTGGGGGCCACGGACCCCTGGTGGTCCGTGAGCTAAAGCCAGGGGGTCTGCGAAATAATTTATAACAACCTAACGTTTTTTTTTTCCATGCTATGAGTCATGTTTTCTTTATCATCTGAAAACATGCTGTTTATTCCTAAGTAACTTATATAAAGCATTTAACATAAAACAATACAAAGTAGACACTTAAAGTTTTCTATAGATAGATAATCTATGTCTGTGCATCAAGTAGACTATTCGCTGCTGTTGATTTTGCGGGACGTGCGCCAGAAAGGAGACGACGGCATGAACCCGCATCCGGTTCTTTTCTGTATTTTTAAAAGGCACGACATTTTGTAGTCATTTATAATGTAGCCTATACACAAATAAAAAAATGGACACTTTACCGTTTCGGATGATGCACTCTTGTCTTATCTATGACCATAAATAAGAGTATTCCTGTTTCCACTGCTGAGGAAAAATTCCCATGTAATTGCGCGCCGGCGTCTCGCGTGCGCGCACAATAGTCAGTTCTAGCACTGCTACTGTAGATTTGACATTAGAAGTCTGATCATTATCAAAATAAAAGTGCATAGTGACAAGGCCGTACCCACAATTGAGGTTGCAAGGATGCACATCGCGATGATACTGACCTTCTCGTCTGAGGTGCTTCAGCAGACTAACAACGATAGCTCGTCAATGTCAAAATGTTTGAGTCAGAGTGAACTCAAAGTTCCCCGCACGACGTTTCAGTCAACGGTCATAAAGTGCGAGATAAAATAGGCCTTAATTAACATAAACTAAACAGCTGTTTTAGATAAAAGTTTTAAAAAACGACTGAAACAATCAGTTTGCAAAGAATTAATCAAGCTCAACTTTAACAAAGGAAAAAGCAGGTCAAGAGAAACATACTGTGCCCATGAGATTAACATTATGGACTCATATATTTAACATATACTGTATATTTTTTTTTAGCTAATTACAGTAGCTCAAATTAACAACGCACGCAACTATTAAACATAATGCCATTATCATTGTATTTATAGGCTTATGGGCTTTATTTGTGTGCAGAATAGGCCTAATTATTGAAACATTTCTCTTTTAAGGCCATTCCTGATTGGAATATGTGATTGTGTTTCGTGACATCTTGACAAAAAAAAAAATGTATGCCACTGACTGACATGCTTCTAAATCTATAGTTATCCAATTGTGGGGCCTTAAAACACCTTAAAATGCACATGTGTAGATCAAGAACATCAAAAATTCCTAAGTGAGGGATCCTAAGTGATTCCTAGCAAGATCACTTTCGTTACCTCAGTAGGCTATTTAGAAATTCCTGCATAGTACCCTGGGTGGAGACCATTCATTTTGTGCAAAAATATTTCATTTGCCGCTCACACATTAACTTTGTGCTCAATAACTGTTATAAATATGAGGGGGGTCCTTGGAAATTTTTTTCCCCTGAAAGGGGTCCCTGGCACCAAAATGTTTGAGAACCCCTGGACTAAACTGTCGCTCACGTTGTCCGGAAGGTTAACGCCCATTAACTTTACGGGCGAAATGTACATGTCATGAGCGGTCCAGATGTAAATAATGATGTCGAACTGCAGTTTATCAGTTTGAGGCAGAATCAGACCCCAGACAGCAAACTGACATTGAATCAACTATACGGTAGAGGGCGGTAAAACTCCTAAGCGGTGAGCAGCCGGTAACAAAAAGTAGTCGAAGAAGAACGGTCTCGTCTCAGTTCTCGCGCATGCGCCCATAAGGAAGTAATGGAAAGTCGAATAAAGTCGTTATTTAGGTTTTTTTTTCGCACAAAAAGTAGTCTCGTCGCTTGATAAAGTTATAGTTGAGCCACTGTAGGCACATGGAATATTTAAACCTTTTCTTTTAATGACTTTCTGGGCCGTCAAGAGGCAGTCCCTCAGGCTGTCTATGGAAGAGTGATCCAGCCCTCAGATTCAATCAAAAATATCTTTATTTGTGTTCCGAAGATGAACGAAGGTCTTACGGGGTTGGTACAGCATGGGGGTGAGTAATTAATGACTTAATTTTCATTTTTGGGTGAACTAACCCTTTAACATTTATGGAGAATATGGCAACTCTGACGACTGGTATGGTATGCTGTAGGTAGGGCTGCAACTAACGACTATTTTAATAGTCGACTAGTCACCGACTATTGAAACGATTAGTCGACTAATCGGATAATTATTACATTTTTCTAAAATTTAGCATGAATTGCTTTAATACTGTGGAAAATGATGGTAAACACAAGAAAGAAGGGGGTACTTCAATGAAAAATGCATATTTTATTGAACTTTGCTGCTGATAGGCTGATTCATACTAAAAGTAAATAAAAAATGCCCTGTCTAAAATCAATTAGGCAGAGTGCTTGGTCAGTATCTTCTGAGGGAGTAAACAACACAATCTTTGCAAACATGTCTAGGGCCCTATGAAATCTGTTTTATTTTTTTCCAAATTCCGTTTTTTCCGTTTTAATTTTAGGGAATTAGGTGTTTTTTTTTACCCTTGACTGTAATTTTAGTTGTAAAAATAATGCTTTTAAAGTTAATGATTAAAATGTATTAAAAATACAAATAAATTAGAAATGACATTAAATTTATTGAGGTAATACAGACATTTACTCAATAGCCTTTTCAGGACAAATATTGCATGATGAAACAGAACACTGCACTCTTCAAGTAACAAAATATGGTTATGAGCTTTAAACTGTCCAGTAATATAAATTATATTAGTTTATATAAGTTTAAATAAAGTCACACTCTGTCTCTCATGGAATTTGCTTCGCTTTTGTCCAGTCCAGCGCCTCATAGACATACGCGGTCTGCACGTTGTTTGTGTGAGAGAGACGGAGGGAGAGCGGGGAAATGCATCTGAAAGAATACGCTGCGTGTTTTAAATAACTGTTAAAAACCGAAACGCTGTATGTGGCGGCGAATTAGTCTATGTGTGGGTAACACTGCATAAGTCATGCGCGAACTGCTCGGCTTGCCAATGACGGCTTATAGCGTCGAATTTCTTAACTTTTAGCCGACGAAAGCAGAGCCGTGGAGAGCCACTTTGCCATGGTTTCATTGTTTTGATTTCATCATTGGAGCTGAAATGACAGGTTGAGGGGTTTGTGTCGCACAGATTTGCTTCCCCGAGTCTGCTTTTTCACCAGACATACGTTCATCTCCCACACAAACTGAAATTCAAACCAAATATGGAAAATTCCACGAAATTCCGCGTTAACTCTAGATTCCGCGTTAATTGGCCAATTCCGCGATTTCGTTATCGCGGAAATCATAGGGCCCTACTTGTCTAAGGATTTCGACACGGAGGAAGACTTGCATTTTTTTGCCCAACCATATTTATTTGAACCCGAACACACGGATGCACCAGATAACACGTCAGCAGCGTCTTACGTCATCAGCATCACTGCGGACTCGTGAACGTGGATTGACAACCAAACTGAAAGACAATACAATGCTGAATAAATGCGTAGATTTTATTATTTTTGGAACTAAATGTATTTTCGATGCTTCAAAACATTCTAACCAACCCACTGTTGTCAATTGAACTACTTTGATGTCTTTATTTCCTTTCTGGACAAGGATAGTATACCATACATTAGGGGTGTAACGGTACATGTATTCGTATTGAACCGTATTGAACATCTGTGCAGCGCGAGCCGATCCCGATCAAGCAACACTGTTACTACACAGCGCTAAGAGATCCGGTAAAGAAAACATTTGAATTCGCCACTGAGGTAATAACATCGCAGCGAGATCTAGTGAGATGCATTCACATTTCTCCATTATTAACCGTAGATCTCTATTAGATGAAACAGCGCTGTCATGGAAACCAGGAGAAACATTGTGCCGTGAATGAACTAGTGATGCTTTCGTCCACAGACCAGCAACATTTACCATGGATTTAATATCACTAACTGGAACCAGTTTGGCTGGAATGGTGAAATGCTTTCAAGTACTTCACACATCTTTTTCCAGCACTTCAAAATTCAATATTATATAAATAAATATATATTTAAATGTTATTTTTAATGTGATGACCAAAAAATTATTTGTTCATCCTTCAAAGATGACCCCCATTTATAAACCTGAAAGTTTCAAGATCTAGGAAAACTCACTTGTATAAAAATATTTTTTCTTTAAACAAATAGGAAATTTCTCTGGCATTTCTTTCTTTTTGCTGTATCGAAAACGTACCGAACCGTGACTTTAAAACCGAGGTACGTACCGAACCGTGATTTTTGTGTACCGTTACACCCCTACCATACATACATTTTAATGGAGGACAGAAAGGTATCAGACTAAATCTAAAATATCTTAAACTGTGTCCGAAAATGAGCTGAGGTCTTACGGGCTTGGAACGACATGACAACATTTTTGGTTAAACTAACCCTTTAAAGTAATGTAATTGTCTAGTTTTAACCAAGTTTCTGTCAAACACAGCACATCTAGGTTATGGTCTATAATCCTATTAAAAAAAGTGCTTTTAAAGAAAGGGATCGAATATTCTTCAGCAACCTGAGCTTTATCATTTGCTCATCTGCATTATATTAATCTTTTTATTTGTTGAGCCTCAATCTGATTTTTACCCTTAAATGGGTTTGGGAGTTTTTTTGTATTTCCTAGATCGGGGAACAGACACAGTCTCTATACGATAATATCTAGGCGAAAGAGTCTCTATGTGATTTATCTGACCTTAGTGACGTGAGACAGCTAGCCGATGGTAGGTTTAGCCAGTCAGTCTGCTTTCTGACCTGAGCCCCAGATTGTCATGTTTAGGCTTTGGTTGCCGAGGAGCGGATAAACCATAACGGCCAGACTCCCGCCTAGTTTGAAGCGCTTCTAACTGCAGTGGAAAAGCAAACCAAGCTAAAGCGAACCGAGTCGTGCCGTGCTGAGCAGAGTCGTGCCACGTAGTGGAAAAGCGAAGTGAACTGAACGTACTGAGCCGAACCAGAAAAGCGGTGTTTTCTCCCACGACTACAGCGTCTCATGGTCACCCAATTGCCCTGCTGCACTGGCTCCACAGCCGAAACTGAACAATGTATAGTGTTCACTAAGCTAGGCCCATCCAAAGTAACAGCAATTCCTCTGCTCCCTCTTGGACGGCAGCCACCCCTCCTCAACCCAGGAGCACGACAGTAAGATCTCCATCCCACCTGCTGTTCGATCGCTCCACCGCCTCGGACAGCCATCAGCAGTCACCACTCCTTTACTGCCCAACTTCCTCACCACTGCGATCCCCCTCAGCAGTGAGGGTTCTCCGACAGCATGTCCCTCCTTCCTCCCGGGTTTCGGCACCAATGTAACATAGTTTGTTGTTATGGGAAGGAGGGCTCTCACAGCCTCCGTCCTGCTCGCCACAGTAAATAAATTACAAGTGTAAGCAGGGCTGGAAATGGCTGAGATTCACTGGGAGGACTCTAGTGGGGAAGATTTTTTTATTATATGTACAGTGGGGCCAAAAAGTATTTAGTCAGTCACTGATTGTGCAAGTTCTCCTACTTAGAATGATGAGAGAGGTCTGTAACTTTTTATCGTAGGTACACTTTAACTGTGAGAAACAAAAAGAAGAAAAAAATCCAGGAAATCACATTGTAGGATTTTAAAAAAGAATTTATTTGTAAATTATGGTGGAAATAAGTATTTGGTCAATAACAAAAGTTCAACTCAATACTTTGTAACATAACCTTTGTTGGCAATGACAGAGGTCAAACATTTCCTGTAAGTCTTCACCAGGTTTGCACACACTGTAGCTGGTATTTTGGCCCATTCCTTCATGCAGATCTCCTCTAGAGCAGAGATGTTTTGGGGCTGTCGCTGGCCAACACGGACTTTCAACTCCCTCCACAAATTTTCTATGGGGTTGAGGTCTGGAGACTGGCTAGGCCACTCCAGGACCTTGAAATGCTTTTTACAGAGCCACTCCTTCATTGCCCGGGCGGTGTGTTTGGGATCATTGTCCAGCCACGTTTCATCTTCAAGGCTCTCTCTGATGGAAGGAGGTTTTGGCTTAATCTCACGCAACTCTGCGTTCTTCTTCCTCCAAACACGACGAGTTGAGTTTTTAACAAAAAGTTCTATTTTGGTTTCATCTGACCACATGATAGTCTCCCAATCCTCATCTGGATCACCCATATGCTTTCTGGCAAACTTCAGACGGGCCTGGACATGTAGTGTAGTTCTGGGATTTTTGTGTGGCTGTGGACAGGTGTCTTTTATACAGATAACGGGTTCAAACAGGTGCCAATAATACAGGTAACGAGTGGAGGACAGAAGAGCTTCTTAAAGAAGTTGTTACAGGTCTGTGAGAGCCAGAAATATTGATGGTTTGTGGGTGACCAAATACTTATTTTCCTCCATAATTTTTTTTTCTTATTATTTTGTCTCTCATAGTTGAAGTGTACCTATGATGAAAAGTACAGACCTCTCTCATTATTCTAGGTAGGAGAACTTGCATATTCACTGTCTGACTAAATACTTTTTGGCCCCACTGTATATTTTTGATAACTTTTCAGATGTGCTTAAAGGCACACTATGTGAGATAAGGCTTATCTGACTACTAATCGCCCAAGCCTTTTTCAGCATTTCTTTAAATGCCCAGACCAAGACAAAACATTCCCCAATGTGGGGCATGAACTTAAAATGGGAATTTGCATTGAGTTGGGAGACCTAAGAAGTTTGCATCGCACCTTGTAGTTTGGATGGAGGACCCTGAGAAAGGGGCATATGGCCACCACAGTAAACAAAGTACAAACCTTTATTACCTTTTGTAGATCTGAGGTTCTGTTTATCTTACACAAGCGTAGATAAATACAAATGAAAAGCAGTGGTTTTGTTTTTCAGGTAAATTTAGCAGTATTTAGGTGCAGAAATTGAATACTCAATGTAAAATAACTAGGAGATATTAAAATTCCCATTTTAAGTCACTTTAAGACGCATGCATGGATCTAGTATAATAAAGCATCTGTTTTCTTTTTTTTCATCTGTTTGAAAAACAACACATAACTGACTGTTCACAAGGATACTTGCCAAGAAAGAGGCATTTTGACTTTATTTTGCGTGCATATGTCCATTCAAGTTCAAAAAGAAGAGAAAGAGAACTGACTGCATGCTCTAACTCATGCACTGTTTTCGGTGCGTGCACACAATCTTCTTGTGCTTGATGTTTAACTGACAGGACTTAAAAACAGATGCAAATGATACACTTTCACTCCATGATGGTTGAACTTTGCAATTAATCATGAAACACATGTTTTCCCGAAGCAGGGGAAGCTGGCCCACATGGATCAACTACGATCCCTATACTTGATATCACACATCTTGCAATTTTTATATCGCGGATGCGTACATCCCAATATCTATGCTAAAACTATATCTAATGCAGCCCTAGCTCACAATAACGCAACTTTTGGCTGGATTTTGCTGTCACACACAGAATTCCAATGTCTTGTGATTTAAAACCTCTGGATCTGTGCTGATTTTGGTGCTCTATGACAAGACAACAGATGACAAGAAACCTTGTGTAGTGTGAGCAGTGCACCACATCAATTCAGGTGGTCTTGCAGTCTTGTAGTGTTAGCTTGCCCTTAGTTTACTTGAAGTGAGTGTGCAGATCAAGTGAGCATTTTGCTGCCCCTGATGTCTAAGGATGACACTGGAAACACAACAGAGTGGGCTTGTTCTGAAGACTGTACCATGCATTTTGGGGCTCCAATCAAGATTTTTGGAGCCGATCATCGATCACAGCAAGCTGATACCGAACTATTTGAAATCTACTTACAGAATTTCATTTTGTAAAATGTGGTGAATCCCTCCCTTATGCCGAGTAAAGTCCTTACAACCTTTTTTTTCTCTCTCTCTGATCAAATTTATCATGTCATTCCCAACAGATAATACTATATTGGCAAAAAGGTGAGATTTGTCTTGTAACCCTCCGCCTATCTCTCCCACAGTATTCTCAGCTACTGAATAAGCTGTACTGTCAGCTTGCAAAAACATGTCCTGTGGATGTGCTGGTGGGCAGAGAACCACCTAAGGGTGCCATACTGAGAGCCACAGCAATTTATAAGAAATCGGAGCATGTTTCTGAGGTGGTAATCCGCTGCCCACACCACCAGAATGTTGCTGAAAATAACGAAGGTTTGTATGTTTTAAATGCAGCTGAATTTGAGTTTTAGAAATGCATATACACTAAAAATGCATAATTAAGTTGCAATGGAAGTTTGGTTGGTAAGAGGGCAGCATCATTAATGTTTTAAAGTATGAATCTCACTATTTGGGAAGTATAACCATAAGACTACAAACATGCAATGTTCAAAAGTTAGCAAGCTTCTCCAAATAATGTCATGTTCTGAATTGCAAATGATGTGATAAGATGATAAGAGCTGTTGTTGGCCTCTTTGGACCGGGATTAAACTAAATACTCAATATTAGGGTGAAATCAAATGTTTAAGAAATTGCACACTTCTCACCCCAATAATGATTGTTCATTTGCCTAAAAAGGAATTTTAAAATAAATCAATTTAAATTAGAAAGTCTTATTCGAACAAATCCAAATTATTATATTGATGTTAGAAAGTCAGCAATGCCAATCAGTATTCAGGTTTTTTTATATTGATTGCCCCTTGCTCTTCTCAGGTATTTCTCACCGTAGTCATCTCATCCGTGTGGAGGGCAGTCAAAAAATACAGTACCACCAGGATCTAAACACCAAGAGGCATAGTGTGACGCTGCCTTACGAGTCCCCGCAGGTACACCAGAATTCAGCACTCTGCTTAAATTCTTGATTGAATTAAAGAATGAATGAAACCTTTATATAGCACTTTATGTTCCTACTGTTCACTTAAAATGCTTAAACTGATAACACTGGTCTACAATTTTTATCTTCGAAGTCATCTACTTCGTAGATAAAATTTGCTATTTATTATGTATTTTGATGTGGTGAATTCGAATATGACAATTAAAACAACTGGTTATCTACTGTTTCCAAGATTTTCTAAGTTTACATTTTACATTAAATGTACATTGTACCTGTCCTGTTTATGTAACACTTAAAAAATCAGAAGGTATTCTGTAAATCAAATCTATTATGAAACAATAGGTAAAAAATGATGTACATAGTTTAGTCCAGGGGTATTCAACTAAAATTTAAAGAGGTCCAGTTTCTTGAAGCAAAGGTCCGGAAGATCATAATGTCTAACTATTTAGTGTGATGTATAGAAGTAGTTATAAATGGAAATGTGTATTATGTTGAGTAGATGCAACGATTATAGAATTCGTTGGTATGATTATTAATCACGGTTTCACGATTAGGCATTCATTAAAGTCCCTGTAAAGTCAAAATTAAGTATGTGTTCTAAGTTTGTCACACCACAGAAAAATGTGTTATTAGCCAGCCAGCCAAATTTGAATGATAAAAAAAGCCGGCAAGTACATAAAATAAGCTATCAAAATCTTGAAAAAATGAGCAGTTATCTCTGTTCTCAAACGCTGGGGGCGTGTCCGCTGGCTGTGCTGCAACCACACCCACTAGCGGGAAAGCTGTCGACGGTGATATTAGCTGTCTGATACTACTTTCGGGACGGGAGGATGAACGCTGAGGCGGGAAATAGTCGTTTCGGCCCCGTTCACCAGTAACAGCGGATCATCAGTGAATCCCAGTTGTCTCTGAGGAATGCTTATAAAACTATCCAGTGTAAAATTATCACTTCAGAGGCGGGTGTTGACGGTGATCCTCAGCTCTTCATCAAGGTTGGTTCTCTAAAAACCTCTTCTTGATGTGATCGTTTTTATGAAATTTATTTAAATGAAGATACCGATCTGTTTTGTACATGTTCGCGTCCAGGTAGTAGCCTATGCATTTTTGTGTCTAAGGCATAGCTAGCTAGAAAACTGTAGGCTCCGCTGTAGTTGTACTGACAGTCACTCGCGATTGAGCGGTGAATGCGAATGTGCTCGGGGAGTGTTATTGTGTGTTAGGGGAGAGATCAGACTCTGTGCGTCATCAAAAAGGGGGCGTGTCCAGGAGCTCATTGGCTCTAGTGCGTCATCGAGCCCTGTTTTAGCCTCGCCCAAACAATCTGTAAAATTGCAATGGTGAAAAAGTGTTTAACGGTCTAACTCCACATTTCAGTACTTCACAGTTCACAGTCTTTGTACGTTTTAGCAATACATATGCAACATTTATAATGTGTTTAGAACTTTTTTGTAGAATTGCCTCTACAGGGACTTTAATTTCACAGCAATGTATACAATCACATTATAGCAATTAAAATATGATTAATTGTGTAGACCCAAAGGGAGCTCTTCTCATCCACCACCGGTGTGCAGAATCTACTTGGAGGATGCGATGACAGCCACAATATAACTGCACCAGTGCGCTCCCCATACAACAGCTATAGATGGAGAGGGAGTGACCAATCCAATTAAAAGGATGGTGATTAATTAGGAGGTCATGATTGATAAGGGCTAATGGAGGAATTTGACTAGGACACCAGTGATCCGGTGCTTCTCTAAACAATTCATTGATTTGTATTTTGTCTTTGTCCCTCTAGCTGGGTTCTGTGGCAACCACCATACTACTGAATTTCATGTGCAATAGCAGCTGTATGGGTGGGATGAATAGGAGGCCAATTCTCACCATACTGACCCTGGAGACATTCGAGTGAGTCCCTCTCCTAATTTCTTTTGTTTCTCCTGGCAGTACTTAAGATCAGTGTTGAATTTTTGGTGGTGTTCTTTATTCATAGCAAACAGGTCCTTGGTCGCCGATGTTTTGAAGTTCGAGTGTGTGCATGTCCAGGCCGTGACCGCAAAACAGAGGAAGACAACCTGAAAAAGATTAATGGAGAACTGGTTCCTAGGACAAAGAGAAGTAAGTGCTTAAATGATGGGGCTGAAAATAAGTTTTACAATTGCTATGAGATTTCTTTAAACTATTTCTCAAAACTTTAAACACCAAAAAAAAAAAAACACTACCTGTGTCCATTCTCGAACCGTTGCACCTATTTCCACTGCATAAAGGCGGTTCCGGTCCAGAAAGATCGGCTCAAAACTTGCTTGTCTCAAACGGAGCAGGGGCTCAGGACATTCTGCAGGAGCACACAATAGTGATGCACAGAGCACGATTATGTCCGCGGACACCGGAATAATCCGCGGGTCGTCGGGCCAATAATAAAACATAACATTCCAATTAAAGGTGGGGTAGGTAAATTTTCTAAAAAAAAAAAAAAAAAAACGTTTTCCCAAATTTGTTTAAACGGTCTATATATACCAATACATAATTGAAATGTAAGTACTCTGAAAAAGAAAGTTTACAAATCGAGTGTCTGTCCTCTCAGTGCTGCAATAAACACAGATCATTATTTCTTTCACTCCCACCCCCTCCCATCTGGGATGCTTACAAAGCCACGCCCCCAAAACACATGAACGCGCGCTGCCGACCGCGCTCAGCTGGAGGACGCCTTTACCAGCGCCGCGGAGAGGAGCAGTGCATAGTGACATCATGTCAGAATCGCATGTAATAAAATGCCTAACTTTATCATTATTAATATAAACAACTAACATGCCTGGTAGTACTCACTATCAAGCTAGCATATAATGGTAAAGGTAATGGTACTGGTAATGGTAAAGTTTAAAATGTATTGAGTTTAATTCGGTAACGAGCTAGTAACATAAAAACTAAAAACAGGTTGCATTGATGCACGTTTTCCCATTACCATCAGTTACACTGTGATGAAGGTGAATTTCGTGTAAGATTCATAACATATACGGTGTTTTACATGTAAGAGCTTCCATGAAAGCACTGTTGGCGTCACTTTTCAGCCCCTTGTTGTCAGTTGTCGCCACAGCTGGAAATCCCTGCCGATATTGACTCTCGTCTGACTTCTTGCTTTATCCAAAGACTTTTTGGTCATAGCCTTTTCAAATACTGTCTTCCTTTTTTGCCTGGTTTTCCTTCGCTGAATATATGTAAGCAATAAGGTACGAGAGGCTGTGCTGTATCGTCAGTAAGTAACGGCTGAAGCCGTTACTTATTCACGATACAGCACTTGCCTCGAGAACCTTATTGCTTTTATAAAACGGTTGCCACACAATATTAAAGTAAAAAAAATGTATTCGTGCAACTTTCATGTAGTTAAATCAATAAAAACATTCCTTCCGCTAGAAAAATATAGTTCCTGACTGTGAACAACAACGTTCCAATATGTAATATGCAGGAAAGCTCAAATAAAAACAACAAACCATTCTCAAACTTTGTCTCTTCTTTTTATTTTTTTACAACACAAAAATTGTGAAATTTCCTCACACAAATAGGCATAGCTTATCTCTCAGCAAAATAACAAATAAAATAAAAATAAAAAAACAAGGGCACATATTTTGCTAGATAACAGTTAGGTCTTTAATCTAGTTATTAATTTAGTTACTAAAATGCTGCCTATCAAGAGATACTTTTTTTGTTGTTTATTTAAATCTCTGTTTATTGTGCACGCAATTATATTTGTCTCATTTCAATCGACTCCACTGTGGTGATATTTAACGCGGTCCTCTTTAGTTGGGGCTCAGCGCTGTCAGCTGTGTTTTCTGTTACAGCAAGAATGTCAGACATAATTTAAAAAGGGTAATGTTTCGTTTTATGCTAGGTAAATTTCGTAAATAAATTTTGATTTATACTAGGTGGCATGACGATGGATAAGTGGTTTGAGGAACAATTTGGAGAGACTTCTACAAATACGAACCGTCATGCTGAAGTGCTGAAATGTAACATTGATACAATCGAGAAGACTCGTAATGAAAAAAATGCCGTGCAGCAAACCCAATGGTCAGTGAAATGCTTCGGTGACTGGTGTAGTGACAGGTGTGTTGGGATTAAGCGCATCGGACAGTTTTATGGTGCTGAAATCTTTAGTAGAAATCGGTGTGTGATGCTCCGTTTTATCACAACCCTCTCTTCTCATTGTCTTTACGACTCCAACGAAAACATTATTGGATGAGGTGAATTCGCTGTCTCTCATCAGACACCAGAGTTGATCATTCTGGAATCTGTTCAGACCCGCACGTAACGCTACATAGATACTGATCCCATATTTTTCTCCTGTGGAGCTTCTGACATTTCCGTAGAAGTCATGGATATTAAAGTTCGTTGAGTTCCGTCTTGGTGATTTGTTTAAAATCTATGCTGCAACCCTTTTCACTACACCAGTCACCGAAGCATTTCACTGCCCATTGGGTTTGCTGCACGGTATTTTTTTCATTACGTATTTACGAGTCTTCTCGAATGTGTCAATGTTACATTTCAGCACTTCAACATGACGTTTCATATTTGTAGAAGTCTCTCCAAATTGTTCCTCAAACCACTTATCCATCGTCATGCCACCTAGTAAATCGAAATTTACTTGAAACATTTTAGCCTTTTGAATTCTTAAGTTTTTTTTCTATGTTTAGCCTATGTTGATATGTGTGGTTGCTAAGGGCGCAGTGATAAATAGAACCGTTGGGTGAAGCGGTCATAGCCGTGTTTTATTGTGAATAAAGCACAGCTCTTGACCAATCAGAATCAAGGATTGGAACTAACCGTTTTATAAATGCAGGTAACTGGGTATTTTGACTGCCCTTTCTCTGCCATAATTGTGATTCTTCCCAGCCGTGCCTCCCGAGCAAACGTGTGCGTGCATGTGGGCTACTCTTACGCAGCAGTGCTGGTAGCCATGGTAGTTAGCGAGAGTGACAGTCGCCCAGCCAATCATTTCTTTTGTCCCAGTTGGAAATAATGAGCTGTGTTTATTGCAGCACTGAGAAGACTAAAGACACTCGATTTGTATACTTTCTTTTTCAGAGTACTTCCATTTTAATTATGTATTGGTACATACGTAGACTGAACAAATTTGGGAACGTTTTTTATTAACATTTCTACCTACCCTGCCTTTAATTTGGGGTGAGTTGCGACTGGATGAGAGGGAAATTAATGAGATTATTTTATTACTGACATGAAACTCTCATTTCATGGTAAAATGCAATGGATGTGCGTCACTCTTTAATTATTGTTTTCAATAAAAACTTGTATCTCTTGAGGGAAATCTAGTTTCACATAGCCAGACCTATAGACTTACAACCAATAATAGTTTGTTTTGTTCAGCATCATGTTTTGGGGGGTGTGGATGTAAATTTGACTGCTGTATGCAAGTCGACTTACGCTTAAAGAGTAACCATTGAACTTGACGCACAACGTAATGACGAACGCACTTGCCCTGTTTGTTTGAATTGCGAGAGGTGTCAAAGCTTACGCTGCTCCTACGTCACGCGTTGTTACTCTTGGCGTAAGTCGACTTGCGTACGGCTGCTGCAAACTAGTTATTTTAGTCGATAAATTTTTAAATATGTATATTCTTTCTTACACAAATGCATCGCTTCACACAGAAGGCCTTTATTAACCCACCAGAGCCGTGTCGAGCACTTTGGCATGGATGCGCTTTGATGGACTTCCAAAAAAATATACCCATTGTCTCCCATTATAAAGCTTATTAGAGCCAGTACATTTTTTTTTAATATAACTTGATTGTATTCATCTGAAAGAAAAATGTCATATACACTTAGGATGGTGTCAGGGTGAGTAAATCATGGGCTAATCTTCATATTTGGGTAAACTATACCTTTAAAGTGTTTTTAGTGTTTCCGTGGTCTCTAAGAAAGTAAAACTGGATATGACAATTAGACTACATTGTATTTGATGGGGAGCGGTAGGGGACACTGGCCCACAAAGGTTGAGAACTGCTGCACTACATCAACAAAATTGAAACACTGCATCCAGAGCACGCAGTTGCAGAAAAAATTATTTTGGGTACAGTAAACAAATTTGGCAATTTGGGTAAAGTATTGTTAATGCAACTTGGTTGAATATATTGTGCACTGCAAGTAGAATATTGTATTGAATTTTGTTTATTCAGCATTTCCATACTGTAAAAATTCAGTAGTCCCAACTGCAAAACTTTATATAAAACTCCAAATGTTTTCATGTTATAGTACACTCAAAAGTAATATTTTACAAAGCTGCAAAAACAAGGTCAATGATAGATTAAATCTTTCTCAGCATCTTGTCTTTGTGCTAAATCCAGCCTGAGGACTTTGTTCACATCACATGCAATGATGTTCCTTGCTAGGCAATGGGAAAAACCCTCTGGTGTGCCAGAGCCACCTTGACAACACTCAACATCTTGCTCTTTCTCAGCACAGTGCCAAATGTTTTAGTGAGTGAGAAATGTGTTTAGAGTTTTGCAAAAAGAGTGCATAAGAATTGCAAATAGTGTCTAAAGAGTGATTTGACAAACATGTTTAGGCCACTGAGCATTTGGTCCAGAGAAAGGGGTTTAGTGTTTTTTTTTTAGCAATTGAGAAAAATGGTAATATCTAAACCATCCCAGTATTGTGTGCATTATATGTAACTACTTTATCTGTTAAATCTTATTCACCTTATCCCAATCACACTAGAGCGTGAGGTTTCTGATCAGTTAAAAGAGCCACTCCCTGCTGCTGGTCTTGCGTGCAAGAAGATTAAGGCTGACTCCAGTTCTGACGAAGACATCTACGTTCTTCATGTGTGTAACATGGGAATATTTATAAATTAACTTATTTTACAAAAGGCAATTCATGAAAATATCTTAAGTTTTTTTTTTTTTTTTCCTGATTGTTTTCTAGGTACGGGGAAAAGAAAGATTCAAAATGCTTAAAACTATAAACGCTAGTTTGGAGCTTATGCACATGATGCCTGTTGCTGACCAAGAAAAGTACAGGCAAAAACGGTATGACTCCTGACAGCCATTTTGTTGGTCTCTGTTTTTGTTCCTCTGTGTAACGCTAGTTAATATTTCCTTAAATTTTATATGCCAAATAAGTAGTTTTTATTTTTTACTTATTTTAATATCTCCTCTAGACACACCTCAAAACATGATCAATCCTGTCTGCAGCCGAAGAGTGGCACATCTTAAAAGATTCAGAGTAAATGGCTTTTTAAAATATTATTTTCAATGCACAAAAAAGTGTTCTGCTTCTAGTTGTGCTGAAGGTGGGGTAACCTGTTTTGTTTTGTTTTTTTTATGCCAAAGTTTCAAACATACTAAATTTCTTTTTTTTTTACATGCTCATTTGTTATTAGTAGTATTTGTTTTAGTGTTTTCTAATTTGACTTCTCTTCATTTGTCATGTACCTTACCTTATTCCAGTGTCACCAGTTTTTCCATTTTTATTAACACATGCAAATACTTTACTATTTTACTTCAGTAATATTTTGTAATACCAGCAAGGATATATTTGTAAAAAAATAAAAGATTACTTTTGAATTTGTGATTGCATATTAGATCTGAGGTGAACAAAAACTTTCTTAACCTGATGCATCTAACTGCACAAATAGAAAAGGAATTTCAAAAGCATTTTTTATAATTGGTCTATTTGGGGTCTGAGGTATAATTTGGGGTTTTATTTCTTTAAATTATATTTAAAATTGAAGTATTTTTTGCTTGTCAAACAAGAATTCAGGATATGCATACAATTTTTGAACTTGCTTCAAACACCCTCATTGAAAACATTATTTCTGTTTGGGGTATCAGAAGCATTTTGTAAAAATGAATCTATGGAGTTGGTTGCTGTACCTGTGTTGTTGACAGTTTATTTTTATTTAAAAGACTGCATCTTTCTACAATTTTTTTTCTGGGTTCAGATCCCTTAAACGCATGCAGTGTTACAATATTGGAGTCACATCTAGTATTAGAAACAATCCCAAGATTCATTTTGACACCATCAGCAACAGTTTACTTGTTTTTTGTGGCTAAGATAAACAATATAAAACTACATTTATTCATTCCTTTCAAAATACTTTGTATCTTCTAGAGAATTTTTCTCAGATAACATAAAATCTTACCAAACTGGTTAGCTTCTCTTAGTCCTCTTGATGTTGGTACCCACTGCTTTGTTTAAAAATGTTATACAGCATGGTCCTTGCATGCTTTCTATAATTAAGAAGTCTCTGGTTCTGTTCCAATGTATTTCAAGCAAGCTGTTGTTCAATCTTGATCCATCTTTGCCCCAAAAGTATATATTTCTAAGTTGCCTTTCATGGCTCCTTTCAAGTTCCTGGAAAACTCGGTGTTGGCACTTGGCATCTCTATAACGTTCTCTTCATACTTATCTGACAGGTCTTTTTCAGCCAGAGTTCAAAATTATGCTTCATCAACAGCATTTCTGTTTTGTGGTGTTCCCCAGGGTTCTGTTTTGGCCCCATTGCTTTCTGCACTATATTTGCTGCCTCTTGAGCAATTAATATGTACATTTAAGGGTGCATTTATTATTATTTATTTTAAGCCTCATGAAATTACAAAATTGGCTGTTCTAAATTGCAAAAACGATATAAAGATTGAATGGCAGATAATAACTTGCGGTTAAAGGAATAGTTCACCCAAAAATCATCACTTACCCTTAAGTTGTTTCAAACCTGTGTGCATTTCTTTCTTCTGCTGAACACAAAAGATATTTTAAAGAATATGGTTAACCAAACAGTTGTGCCAAACAACCGAACAGAATGGCCTTAGGGAAAAAAAGTACAACATCAACTGTTTGGTTACAGACATTCTTCAAAATTATCTTTTGTGTTCAGCAGAAGAAAGAAATGTACGGAGGGGGGAGGAGGGATTACTGGATTATTACAATTAATGGGAATTAATTGTAATAATCCAGTAAGATTTCTGAATGCACAAGGAGTCTGATCCAGTATGCTTCCATGTGGAGATCTGATCTCACCATCATCGATCCTAATCTGGGTTTACATGAAGAAACAGAAAAAACTCAGACAGACTAAATCAAGAAGAACTGCAGCAACGTCTCCAAGACACCTGAAGAAACCAGCAAAGCTACAATATGTGAAAAGTTTTAGCCACTTGTTTATAAAATGCTGTAAATTGAGGATGGTTTCAAAAATAATGTCATAGATTTTATTTATCATTTAACTTCTATTAACTAAATCAAATCAATGGTGTGACCATCCTTTGTATTTAAAACCTCTTTTATCCTCCTAGACTTGCACAATTTTTCAGGTAGGGAGGGTCTTTGAGACGTTATAGTACTGTGCAAAAGTCTTGGGCATACACGTTAATGTGTTCACCCAAAAATGGTTTTTAATACATTTAACTATATTTTGCTGTTGTGTGTCAGTAGGAAATATCTGGTTACATTTCACCAGTAAACAAGAAGGTATGTGTGTGTGTGTGTGTATTGAAAACCTCTATAGCGATGTTCTGCAGGGCCCAGACACCAACCTTTGAACAATGCCTACTCTTGAGTTTCAGCTCTTCTCAATTTCTCTTTTTTTAATGCTTGTTAAAAGACTAACAATTTATTTCTTTATGATCAGAAGATCATAGGTCCTATAAAAGTCACTAGTTACATCCTTAAACTTGCACTAGTACAGGCTGATCTTATGAAGTAGCGTGTGTATGACACGGCAGTTCGTATTTCCATTTTTGGCGTGCAAGACGCATAATCGCCTTTCAGCGTGTTTATGAACGCCGTTGACTTAACGTTATATAAATATATTACCTCAACCCCGTCCCTAAACCTAACCGTCACTGGGGTTAATGGCATATGAGTGTTCCCTTACCATCCTAGGTAAAAAAAAAAAAAAAAAAAAGATATGACTTACCTCGACCCAATCCCTAAACTTAACCGTCACTGGGGTTAATGGCATTTATGAGTGTTCCCTTACCATCCTAGGTAAAAAAAAAAAAAAAAAAAGATATGACTTACCTCGACCCCATCCCTAAACTTAACCGTCACTGGGGTTAATGGCATTTATGACTGGAGATTTGACTGCGGACACGCGGAATGACGCGGACGTTAATGCCGTAGACATATACGCATACACGCGGATAGCTCAAAATGCGTAGAGATAACTCGCCACCTGACTCGAAAGTGGCGTAGCCTATATGTTTATGCAAAAGTCATGATGTCATGTTGCCTAGAAAAAAATACATATCATTGATTAAATAAATCTGATAAAATAATCTAATCGATTTTCCAATTAATTTAGTAAAATATTGTACATGTTTTCATTTAGAGGTTTACTCATTTCATTATTCATAAAGATATTTTTATTGCACCATTTTCACAAAACAATGAATTGAACAAATGTTAACAAACTAATCCAGCTGTATAAAGCACTTGAATTCTGGTACTCTGTAAACAGTTTAACTGAATTCATAGTAAATAAGTACACTATACATTTCTTGCAATGTGCAAAGTGGCTATACATCAAGCTTTTAACAAATTCGCAACATCCCACCAAAGAACACAAATTATTAGCACTATAAACAGCTGTTATAGGAATCGAATACATTCAGTTATGTTAAAAGCTATAAAAGTTCTGACATCGGTAGTAGAGATTTTTAGCTTTGGCTGTTCTGTCACAAATGATTATTTGTGCTCATATTGTATTAACTCCTATTAAATCACTTATCTAATTGATGTTTTCTAGATGTAATTTCTTTGCTCTCACTGCCTTTTAATTACGCTGTCCAAGGTGCTTGCTGAGGAGCTGAGAGAGTGATGAAGATTGAATGTGGATTTTGTTTTTAGATGGTGGATAATGGTTGATATGCATTTAAAAATGGACTACTAAGAGTGAAATATGAGTTAACATTGTTAAATGATAATAAAACCAGAGATAATAAAGTAATTGCAGTCACATTGCGTATAGATGTTGTATGTCTTTTCTTTTTTGAGGGCTCCAACTTGAAACTAGCTGGAAAATTGCAAAGGCCGCCAAATGTGACTATACAGTCCTATTCTTTCACACACACAGACCCTTTTTCTGTTTGTGCAAGTGCCATTAGCTGATTCTCTGAAGACTGTAGTCATTCTCTGTGTCCATAGAGCTGCTGTGTCCAGAGGATGGGTTTAAATCGCGCTTCAACAGGCGATTGGCCACTGTTATTAAGACCTTCTTGTACTGCTGTCGCAGGAGGGAGTAGACGAAGGGATCTGAAGCAGCCTTGCTGTATGTTAAACACTTGCTGACAATACCCCAGTGTCGGTTGACATACACAAAGGGAAGCAGCTCAGTCAACCTGTAAAACAGAGTCAAATCCATTAACATAATGACAGCATCTAAGCAAGAAGCACACAAAAATACATCCAGGTATTTATTTACCATTACTGTTTAAGCAGTGAATATATTTTGTGTGAGAAATAGATGCAAAACCTATTGTGGTCCTTTGTATAATGATAAACTTAATTGTATAACTTTCCTTACAATATCTATAACGGATTAATACCTATTAAGTTTTTCATTTTATAAAAGACCATAATAAGTTGTGCATTTGTTTCTTACACAAAATATATCTTTCAAAGAATCTACTGATGAACAGCACTATTTATTCAGTCCTTAAATGTAATACGTGTTGTTCTGAAAATTACTCCAATTTTTAAATAGCAACTATTCATTCTCATGTGAGAAATGAGTAGAATACCAATGTACAATTTTGCTATTTATATGGGAAAATACTGGTCCATAAGTGTAATACATAATGGTTATATGAAGTATAACTTTGAAAATATAAAACATAAATAGGCCCTTTTTTATACAAAACTATATAAAATGATAAAATGCTTTAATTGTTGTAGTATAATCATTGTTTCGTTTTTACTCTGTCAAAAGATTAAAAAAAAAAATTCATATGGTTAACATACCGATTTGACATTATTTGACCATTTTATTTGAAAGGAAGAGATGTAAGGATATAAGGTATTGCAGACACAGTAGTATGAGCACTGAGAAGTAAATATGGATGAGAAAATTTGATTTACTTTATTCATTTATTTAGATCAGGTGAGCTTTCAAGATCATTTGCGAATCCCCCTATGAGACGAAAAGTGATCTGTCACCTCTGGCGCACAAGAGCTATTCTTGGAAACATTTTTTTCCTTGTCTAGCGTCATCTCACGAGTCACGACTCAATTAAATGACGCCATTTCGAGGCACTTTTGTACTTTTCAAGAGTAAAACATTTCTACAAGCAAGCAATTAGGATCATAATGCATAATTGAATGTTACTGAAACCTGCAAACCGCTTCGTTGCGTCCCTCATCAGCCTCACTATGTATTCAGATCTCCGTATCACACTGTCTGATAATCAACCCCTCCCAGATTATTACAAAGTGTTTGTACCCAATGGTTTATAAAATGTTAAGCTTTTAAATAATAAGCGCGGCATACCTTGTAATAACATAAGGGGCGAAACAGATGATGAAAGAGCCAATGAAAATGCTGATCTTCTTGGTAGCGCGCTGTTTTCTCCTCTTTTGTTCTGAAAGACAGCGCTGCTTAACACTATACAAAAGAGTTTTACAAAATATTAATGACACATTTTACCATGGGAAACCTGGTAAAACATTCCAATGATGCTTACTAAGAATAAAATTGTCATAAATACCTTGGATGGATATCTACCAGTAAGAACAGGGTCTGCATGGTTATAATGTCAATCCTCTTGCAGTGAAAGCGTGCAACTTTTAACACCTTTAAATATGTAAAGCACAAAATCAGAAGCGAGAGCATGAAGCTGGTGGCATGAAAGACAATGGTGAACACAGTAAACTTAATCCGCGTGCTCTCCTCGCTCAAATGCAACGTGCAGGATGCGTAAATGGGACTGTAGTCAAACCATGAAAAAAACACCGGGATGAGAGAGAACGTGAACGAGTGAAGCCAAGAATAACACACCATGACCAATGCGTCCTGGTAGCGCATTTTGCTAGAGTAACTTAGTGGGAAAACTACTGCGATCCAGCGGTCTATACTGAGGGCTGCCATGCTTAGCATGCTGTTGGCTGTCAGAAAGGTCTCCAGAAAGCTTAGCGTGCCACAGAGACACTCTCCAAAAGGCTGCTGGTGCTGCTTTAAAATCCCAATTAAAGTGGATGGCATGTTCAGGACAGAAATCAGTATGTTGCAAAATGACAAGTTCATGGTGAACACCCCTGGCACCTGTCGGCGTATTTCGCTGCTGTGGATGAAACATAACAACACCAGTAAGTTCGACACCAAAGAAACAATCGCAACCACAACGATGAACAAAGCTAATAGAATTTCCGCAAAGTCCATTTCTCACTTCAGAAGTCCCCTTGCCATATATTTTCCCCAGTTTGTGATGAATGTTATCAGCTGCATGATTCTTCCTCTGAGACAAAATAATTACGGTAGCCTAATAAGTCACATTAGGCTTAACTCGCGCGCGCTGTCCAGAGTGCTGAAGCGTAGTATAGCCTGCAATTTCCCTCTTAAAAAACAAATATATAAAAGAAAATAAGAAGAAAACATTCCTAACGACAATATATTTTATGGCGAAGTAAAAGCCATTCACTTTCCATCGTGATAGAGGCGTTCAGTCCTTCGCGTTTTAACGCTTGTGTTGGTGAAGCTCACGGACTCTATTACGCTTGGCTCATGCGCACAAGGGCCGCGACGGTGGGAGGCCCTTTTGTACAAATACTGAAGAAAAAAATACTTTGAATCTTGTGGATGCTTTTTAAAGAACATATGTCGCAATTGTCTTTTGGAAACTCATGACATAAGCCCTATCTTTATTAAAACTAGGCCTGCCAAGTAAAAATTTACTTTTGGGCGGAGGTTCTTTAATGTACACTCTATAAAAAATGCTGGGTTGTTTTAACCCAACTATGGGTCAAATATGGACTAACCCAGCCGTTGGGTTAAATTTTTACATTACATTTTTAACCCAACATTTCGGGTTTGTCCATATTTGACCCAAAATTGGGTTAAAACAACCCAGCATTTTTTAGAGTGTATATATATATATATATAAACTGTAAAAAACTAGCAGGACTTTTAGGATGATTTAGCTGTTGCTACTGGAACAGTGGGTCCCCTAAAACTCAACTAGAAATCAACTTGTAACAAATCAAAATGTATAACACCAAAGAAAAAATACACATAACCAGAATTCAACATTCAGAATTCAACCAGAATGTAACATAACACAGTCCCTTTAACTAAACAAACCAGAAGAGAGGAACTTACATCAACCACACGACAATTCCACACAGAGCATGCATGAATGGGGAGGCGGTCTCTTACATACAAACAAGCTGTTAAGCATGATTAGCTACTCACAACAGGTGATCTCATCAGGACTCAATCAGCCAATCAGATCACAGCAGGGTTACAGAAAATTGATTCAATTGAATTATTCAATTCAGAAAGAACAATAAGATGGTTGACTGGACGAGTTAAATATTTCCCTTTGCTGAAAATCTCAGCAACTCTCACTCTTCCATTGGGACTTGGAAAAATCTTATTCAAGGACCTATTTCTAAACTTCCATTTCTTTCAAAAAAATTGGAGAAAGCTGTATGTATATAGTTACAATCTTTTCTATGGCAGTTGCAATCTTTTCTATTCTTTGGCTGACAACCACTGACATATCAGTTTTGCTATGCATTTGATAGGTTTGTCAAGTTCGACTGTATGTTGCGGTAAACAATCAGTCATGGGAGTTTAAAGTTTCACACTTCGTTTAGGCAAATGGTCGGAGTGGGAGTGGACAGAACACAAGTTATTTTATTTATGGGTTACTTAGAGATCATTTCTTAAGATGTCCCTATGCAAATATAACAACTAATCTACAGTTAATGTCAAATACACTGAAATACAAGTACTTGACTTGGTTAAATCAAATACTTAAAAGGAAAAAAGTCATGCTATGCCTTAGAAAACATAATATTGGAATTTCTTTGCTACAAGAAACACATTTGACCGATTCTGAACATCAAAATATTAAAAAGCAATGGCCTGGACAGGTTTTCTTTTCTTCCTTTACATCACAGTCCAGTGGAGTGGCTATACTTATTGACAAAAATATACCCTTTCAAAATGGAATCTGTTGATAAAGACAATTCCGGTAGATCGGTAGATTCCGGTAGAGGAATAATTGCTATGCGGTGAATGACATTGGTAAATGTATATTGTCCTGAAATGGAGGGTGCTTATTTTATTCAAAATTGCATGTACTATGAACTAATGATTGGAGGGGACTTTAATGTAGTCCTGGACCCAGTATTAAATGGGTCGTCTACCAAAGTGTCAGCATGAGGTCAAGTTGCATAGCTTTAAAACATGTCCCACCTATGGGGCATGTTGTCACCTTTCACTTCCATTCTTTCAGGGTAAATCAAGAAACAAGTATATACTGTATCAATGAAACAAAACCACATAACTGCACTAGATGTGGGAAATTAATGTGGGAAAAAATAAATACTAATAAATAATGGATTTACATATACTGAGAAAATCAAAAAGTGTTAGGGTTAGGGCTCCGCTCACCCTATACACAAAGGTTGCTTAATTGCTTCAAATAACAATATCAGTGACTTTGTGATTGAACTCTGCTCACTGTAAGTTGTGTAGTTGGGCTTTTTCTAATCTTATGTACAATGTAACTAATCTCTATGCTGTATATTGACGACAGACAAGAGGATAAAAATGTACAATCATATGCTGGCGCAGCTACAGTATACATTACCAAACTCTCATTAGAGTTAATACTTTAGGTAATACAAGTAGACTGTCTGCTTAATATCTGCTAACTCTTTATTTTGATGCTCCCTAAACAAACATTTTTCTGACTACTGGCTTTAAGAAACTTTGCAAGTACATTTCAACTTATTCAAACCTTAACCCTACAAGTCGACTAGCACTCGAACATGAGAAGACATGTAGGGGTTACTTATAGTCAAAAGAATCTGTTAAAGGGACCACCAAAATAAAACAAAGGCTCATTCGTGCTTTAGGACACAATTCAGGTGGTGTTATTGGAACTTGAAACAGTAAAGGTTTTAAACAGAGAGCTGTATTGCAACAGAGACAGTATGAAATGAATGTTGTGAGGCATTCCCAGCTGACACAGTTATTGAGAGTCCTGTTGTCATGGAAACGTTGATACTTGTGAGGTATTGTCTGTTGTTGATATGGTGGCAGATAAAAATAACGTATTGCAAAGTGGACACTAAAATGTTAACTTGGATGTGATGCAATTAGTTAAGCATTTTAAAGGGTGGTGATGGCACAGTGGATAATACACATCTCTTTGGTCTGAGAGACCTGGGTTTGAATCCACTATAAGACACCAATGTGTCCCTGAGCAAGACACTTAACCCCTAGTTGCTCCAGTCAATTTTAACATTGAGCTAATTTTTTTGTACATTTGGAGTGCTGTCAGTACAGACAAAAACGAGAAAAATCGGTGTTGCCTACACCGTGTTATCATCTTTTTAACATTCTCACCCTGTTGACTTCAATGGGACATGTTCTAAACCTGCTTTTAGGCCCCGTTTACATGAAGGGAAAACGCGCTCATGCTCTGTGTGGAAAACGCAGATATGACCCCAGTGTACCCTTGGCCGGGACCCCATTGTACCCTTGGCACAAGTCAAAGGAGACTCCTAGAATCTCATGACCTCTTTATGCACGTCCAGGTTAAAAACCAATCATCAGCCTAAAGTGCTTGGGACATGGCAGAAGGTTCCACACAAGCCCGATACTCGTGGCAGCCCAGGAAAGCTGTGAACTCTGGATCAAACTCGTTATGCTAGCACATCCGAGGATGGCAGCACAGACATCTCTCGAGGACTCCAGCTCACCTTGTGATGCGGCGATATTCATGATTTCATCAGCCGGGGGACCGAATGAGAATTCATCACTCGGGACCATGCGGGTTGCAATGTGAAAGACGGGGTGTGGACCGAAGAATTTTTGGCGGTTTAGTTCCAGACCTTCGTCTTAGATCACCCTGGTCACCAGTCGAAGTATTATCTCAAATGGAGAAAAAGATGTGCCTTGTGCACGCTTTTTTTGTGAGAGAAAAGCTTGCAGCAATGCTGAAGTGCCCAGGGAGAAGCACATGACAAAATTAAACTCGCTGGAACTCACCATCACACCAACACCGACTGGAAGCTGCTCGTAGAGAAGATTCTTGAAGAGAGTCAGAGAATAGGCTGCAGGAGTGAACATTGCCGGCGTCCTCCTTTTACACCCACAAGGTAAGGTGGAGATACGCTATGCAAAATCTGCAGACCCATGGCATTTCTTTTCGATTGGCTCGTTTTGTAATACTCAAAGTCGATAGGCTTTCTAAGCGAAACTTCATTCGTCTTTATCCCACAGAACTCGGAGTGACAATGAAAGGGAACTGTGAAAAGATCCCCGGCACTGTTCACATTTGAAATCCGCATCACATTTGAAAACACCCGTGTCGCTGTTCTCCACAATGTTCAATTATGACGTATTCTCTCCCATGGCCTTCTGGGATAGAAAAGTATCGATCTGCGAGCATGTCTACGAGCCCTTCAGAATCTAGGCAGAAGCAGTAGAATTTCTCACCTACTTTTTTATGAGTTCTGAGGTTTCGGACATGCTCTCACGTACTGTTCTCTCCTACTATATAGAATGAAAGTAAGAATATTCGGACGCACCATTAGTATACATAAGTCCGAATCTAGCGAGAATTAGTACGTCACCCAGGTAATTTTGACCTACTCTTTTATTAATACCAAGGATTCAGACATTCTTGTCTACTGCTTTCCCCCTACTAGGAAAGTTTCGGTTTGGACGCAACCAATGAGTCAGTGAACTTGCGAACCATGATACTCTGGCCCTTGAGATCCATTTTCCTGCAGATTTTAGCTCCAACCTTCAAACTTCAATGATCAAAATCATCTGCCTGTAGCTTTCTAGTAATTCTGAAGACCTTCAGGTGTGTTTGATTTGGGTTGAAGCTCAAAATTGATCTTAAGGGGCAAGAGTTGCCCATTGTCTAAAATGACCACAAAATACGAAAACAATAAGAGGAACAAATCTGAGAAACTGAGGGTAATGTTTTCAAATACCCAAACTATGAAGGATCATCCTTTGCTGAAAGTGTTTCCTTTCAAATGCAAATTCTTTGGTGGATGTGGAGACCAGACATGACAATTTTGTGTATTGGAAATGTGTTGTCTTCCACTTCAAGGACTCAAAGCAGTTGCAGATCCATTTCCCCTGGGTACTCTAGTTTTATTGGAAGGATATTAATTTTTTTAAGAAGGATAGTTTATAAAAACAATGAAATTACCCATAAATAAGGTTGAACGCTACTATAATACAAATAGTCAACCTCAAATGTGCAAAAGAGTTTTTTTTTACATTAACATTGAATCATTTACCAGATGCTTATCAAAAGCGACAAATGAGAACAATAGAAGCAATCATACCAACAAATAGGGCAATGTAAGTGCTGTGACAAGTCCCAGTTAGTCTAGCACCATGCACGTAGCATTTTTTATTTAAAAAAATAAAAATGATGAATAGAATAGAATACAATAGAATAGAATACAATATAGTAAGTGGTAGCGTAGCGTTACTATGTCAAGTGTTGACGAAAAATAAGCTTCTTTAGCTGAATTACCAGTCA